TATGTTACAGTTTAAAATACAGTTTGTGGTTTTAATTTTAACCAAACTTTCCAGCATGTATTGTTTGAGAGTTAAAACTCTTTAGACTCTAAACGTATTCATGTATTCATGGTGGAAATTTTGTGTGCGTTTGTAATACATATTAAATTAAGTAATGCTTGTTATTTTTCATAATAATAACATTGCTAACCACAAGGAAGGTTAGTGATGAATTTAGTCCCGACCACTGATTCCTCAGATGTTGTTTGCACCTACAAAATGGCTTTAGTTCTTCATCTCAAATAGTTAACTGATTCTTGTGAAATTACATAATCTAGCCACAGTGGTTGCAAGCCAGTGACCTCTGTGCCAGTCCTAAGCCCGGATAAATAGAGAGGGTTGCGTCAGGAAGGGCATCCGGTGTAAAAACATGCCAAATTTAAACATGCGAATCATCAGTGTGAATTCCATACCGGATCGGTCGAGGCCTGGGTTAACAACAACCACCACCAATGCTGTTGACCTACAGGGTGCTGGCGGAAATTGGACTACTGTTAGTCGAAGAAGGAGAGGAGGTAGAAGGATTTGTAGACAGAGAGAGAAGAGGAAAGGCGGGAGTATAGGTCTGAGAATAGGGACTCCTAACGTTGGCACATTGACAGGGAAAGGTAGAGAGCTGGCAGACATGATGGAGAGAAGGAAGGTAGATATACTGTGTGTGCACGAGACCAGGTGGAAAGGTAGCAAAGCGCGTAGCATTGGAGGGGGATACAAACTGTTTTATTATGGTGTGGACAGGAAGAGAAATGGGGTAGGAGTGATCCTAAATTTTTTTACTTAAAGAAACTATTATTTACAAAGAATTTCATGTGAAATTAAAGTCACTATCTTTGAAAAATTACTGTTTTCTTATGAGTTAGTAATAGTCTGTTATTTTACAGTAGCTTATTGGTGCCCCAGGTACCAGAATATTACAGTTCTTTTGTGATTTTTTTTTTCTTAAGGTGTATGCTGCACATGAACATGACTCAAGGGAAAATGGATGTCAATCTTTATGCGTCAGCCCTGTTTTTGACTGGCAACCTGTCCAACATGCACTCCACCTCTCACCCAATGTCAGCTTGGATTGGCTGCATCTCCCCTGCTACCTTGAGTGATGAGCATGTACATATATAGGTGAAGGAGGTGTGCAGAGATTGTAGCTTGGTGCCCTTGGTATGAGAATGGGGGAATGAGAGTCAAATGGTAAAGGCTAAAAGAGCTAAATAAGCACATGATTTTTACTAAAAAGCATTTGACCAAATGAGGGCCTCTTTTTAAAAGTACCATAGCAGAGCAGTTGAACAAAGGCTGACTCAGCGTGAGATATACAGCCCTTTTAACACATCTACTGGAAAGACAAAATATGAAGGCTGGAGAAGGGGGAAAAGAGGAACAGGAATAAGAAAAAAGGAAAAACAAGACTAAGAAAAGACCAAGTAGGAGGAATGTGACGAACTTAGAGGACAAAGACAGGAAAGTGGAAGTGGAGGCTACACTCTCAAACCAGAACAAGATGGGATGGTAGGTAAAATCAAAATTAAAACTGAAAATAGTGATATGTAAATAATCTGTCCCCTATATTACATTGAAAACAATACAGTAGCACATTATTTGATGTGATACCTCATCCATTTTATTCTTTGCTCAAAATAAACACTCACTTTGATCCTGATGCCTGCACCACATTCCAAAATAAGTTGGGACAGTGAAGTATTTACCACGGTGTGTTTCCGTTCCTTTTCACAACACTTAAAAGACATTTAGGTACTGAGGACACCAAGAGATTCCGTGTGTCAGGTGTCATTTTGTCCCATTCTTCCTGCAAACAAGTCTTAAGGTTCGCTACAGTCCTGGGTCTTCTTTGACACAATTTGTGTTTCAAAATGTGCCACACAATCTCTACTGGGGACAGGTTGGGACTGCAGGCAGGCCAGTCCAGCACACTTTTCTTCCACAGTCTGGCTTTGGTAATGTGGCACTATGAGGTTTTGCATCGTCTTGCTGAAATATGCCTGGAAAAGATGTTGTCTTGAAGACAGCATATGTAGCTCCAAAGTATTTTTCAGCATTAATGGTTCCATCACAGAAGTGTAGGTTACCTTTGCCAAAAGCACTGACAACCCCAGACCATGACAGACCCTGGCTTTAGAACTTGTAGCTGGTAACAGTCCGGATGATCCTTTTGGTCTTTGGTCTGGAGCACAAGGTGTCCATTCCTTCCAAAAAAGACCTGAAATACTGATTTGTCTGACCACAGTACATGTTTCCACTGCGTGATGGTCCATCCCAGATGCCTCTGAGCCCAGAGCAGTCCACGACACCTCTGGACACTTTTGACATAGGGCTTCCTTTTGGAACAGCACAGTTTTAAGTGATATTTATGGATGTAACTACATATTGTGGTGCTTGACACAGGTGTGCCAAAGTAATCCTGAGCCCAAAGTAATCCTGTGCCCATGTGGTTATATTGCTTATAAAAGAGTGATGATCCTTGATACAGTACCGTCTGTATCAAGGGATCGGAGAGCTCGGTCATCCATCATAGGCTTGGGCCTTTATGAACTGAATTCCCTCCAGACTTCTTGAATCTTTTAATCATGTTCTGCACCGTAGAGGGTGACATATCCAAATCCCTTCCTATCTTTCTATGAGGAACTCTGTTTTTAAACTGAAACCACTGTTTTCAGTTTTAATTTTTGATTTTACCCAAGTTTTTCTGATTTGGGGTTGTAAAAAAAGCAAAAAAATGGTCAACTAAAAGAAATATAACTTGAGGCCACAACTAGTAATTTGCTATACAGTATATGAAATTATTGTCTATCTCTCTGGAGAGTTCATTAACCAGGGACAAAGGAATGAATCATAGAAATAAATGCAAAATAAATAGATGAGAAACTGAAGATTGAACAGCGGCGTCATAATAGTTCATTCATAGTCCTTTAGTAATTTTCTGCTTGTCTTGCCAGTCCACTAACTTTCCTGTTTCACATGCTGCCACTCTCAACTGCCCTGGAGTAGGCTTATCTTGTCTTTCCCTGTCACATGATTTCTGATACTTTCCTCAAGCGTACCTGTTCCCATTTCCCTCATTAGTTCCATAATACTGGTCCTCTTCCAGTTGTCCTCTGCCAGACTGTTTTGTACTGTACCATCCCAGTGTCCTGTTTCCAGCATTCAAAGCCTGTCTGTTTTTGGACTTAACTTTTTGCCTGCCTCTTTAGCCTTGCTTGCCTGTTTTTGTGGCCCGAGCTGTTCTTCTATAACTTGCCTTCATCTCCATTACTGTGAATAAAGGTGAACAGTTTAAATGTTTACATGATGTTCCTGAGTCATGCACCCGAGTCCAATGTGGTTCTGAGCTGTGACATTTGAGCATGCAACATATGTTAATGGGATATATAACTCTGAATTAGACCTGATGACAAAGCACCTGTGCAGCACAGCCTTCTCTCTACTTACCAGTGTAGTGAAGATGTAGTGATAATATTCTGTCATCATCCCCATAGCAAGAGCCTAAGAAGGAGAGTGATGGAAAGGGGAGAGAGAGAGAGAGATTTATAAATGAATAGGGAAACAAGTACAGTATTTTGTTATATTGGGAGCACACACACATGCATTCATCTGTTTATGCAACTGTATTACCATGTAATATTCTGCTACACATCTTCAGCCACAGGTTCAAAGATATGAAATAAGCCTACCCACCAAAAAAAACAGCTAAATAAAGCATGAGATAATGCTTGGTT